TGTTCCCTCCCTTTTTAAAATTGCTTTTTTGTATTTAGAGTAATAATGTCACTTAAAACAAGTAATTCGATTTCTATTAAGCCTTTTCGTTTCTTTGATTTATATCTGTCTTAACATTGTGATATATTAAAGAAAAGACAATGTATTCCAGAGGGAGAACCACTGTATGTATAATGAAAGGAATGTATGTGGTTATTTTGCTATAAGTACATATAGTAAATTGCAAACTGAATTGGAAAAGGAAAACAACAAACATATGTGGGAATTGGCCCTGGGAAAAAATGTTGTTTAGAGGTAGAAAAATGAAAGACAGTTATGGGACATATACCAAAGGCAGTTTATATAAAAATATAATGCATTGTTCTGTAGACAGGAATTAAGCTGCTAGAAAATAATACAGGTGTTCTGAATTGTGTTTGAGCAGGATAGATCTAACTTTTTGACATTATATGGCTAATCATATAATTAAGTTCCTTATTTAACTCAAGAAGGATTAATGCTTGATTTGATTAAAAAGTTTGAGTTTAAAAATTGAAACTTGAAGAAAAGTTATGATTTTATTAAATGAGTCGATCCATTTCTACTTTCCTGGATTCAGGATTTTAAAAGCCTGAATACTGACCTGATTTTTTGGGAAGGGGGGGTAAGGAAGGGGGCGTGAGAGAGGGGTGTGGAGAAGGGGGGGCTGGATTTATTGTCTCCAGATTTTGCTCTTAGAAATTACATAAAGATGAAAAACCCAAGCAGAATCCACATCTGGAAGTTGCTTTAGGCCCATTTCTAATACATTTTATGTTATAGAGAAATATATAGAGGCAATATAGAATAAAACATTCTTCTTTTACTGAAGTAAAAAAGAAATCACCAAATAAATGAAGTCTGATATTTTATTATATATACTGTGACTTTTGTATGAACTTTTCAAGCATTTATAGGAAACCATTTAAAACATATTTTCCATGTAATGGACTGTATCATACAATAATTGTTGGGAGTATTATCCTATACAAAGACCATTTGAAAGTTGTAGTGTTCCAACAAAAAACTGGAAAGCATAAACAGAATGGGAATTGAACTTATAATAGAGAGCTCTCATAATTAAGAAAAGGAAAAATTATTGGCACTCAGTAGTCAACTAATGGCAGATGATGTGGTTTTTCATTGAACTGAAATCCATCAGACCAAGTGCACCTCATCCAGATACTGTTCTATTGGACCTCTAGAACCAATGAAGTGCTCTGAGTTTTAGGATCTGATCTGAGTGACAAATGACTTCACAGTGATCATAGTGTCATCACACAAATGTCATGAATGATATAATTTAGGTCAGCTAAAGCTTGCAAATTTACTGTATAAGAAGTTCAATCATTATGATTGACTTCATAGAATTTTCTTCAACCTGGGGCTCTTTAGAGGTAGGCTTGTCCTACAGTTCTCAGAATTCCTAGTTTTCCAGCCTTTGTCCAGGCTGACTTAGAATTCTACAAAATGCAATCCCACACATTCAGAAGGCATCATCTTGGAGAAGAACTTAAATTTCTCTTTGATCTGCAGTTTCAGCCTAGGGATAAGCTAAACCAGATAGCAATACAGTAGTGGAAAACCTTCCTGTCTTAGAAATCATCAGTTATACCACTTAAAGTTTATACCATAAAAATATTTCTGTATTTCTTTTCTTCCTTGCTCCTCTAAATGCCATGGTGACCACAGCCTGGACTTTACTTGTACAAGTGTTCAGTTTTCAATTTCTCCTCAAAACATAGAGTTATACTAAAGCAAATACTACAGAGCTTCACAGATTGTTCCTTCACAGCTATAAATCGCACATTTTCTTATAACTTAGCTTTCTGACTGACCCTACAGGAGAAAATGATATAATTCATATGTTTAGCGCTTGCTTAGACACCACTTTTGTACATGCAAGGCTTGGATCTTGATGTTGAGCTTGCTGTCTTGTTTGATTTTCCTAGATCAGTCTTTGCATTGATCTGAACTCAGAACAGCCTGGCTATTTCTATTTGATGCTGCAAAGCTTGTCTTGATTTTGGAAAGCAGATTAACTATGAGCTGTGCTAGGTATGTTGAGCTTAAAGAAGAGAAGGCTCAGGGAGAACATGATAGCAGCCTTCTAGTACTTAAAGGGCTGTAACAAGGAAGAAAGTGTAGATTTTTATTCCATGATGCCTCAGGATAGGATAAGAACCATGAGATGGAAACTTTACAGAGAGAGATACAAACTCAAAATAAGAAGGAATTTCTTGACTGTGAGAGCTGTTAAGCAGAGAAAATAACCTACTTCTTGGAGTCAAGGGTGCTTCATCACTGGAGATTTTCAAACAGATGTTGATCAGCCATTTTACTGGGATGGACTGAGGATTCTTCCCTTGTACAGGAGGTAGAGTACAAAACATACAAATTCCTTTTCAACCCTCCAGTGCTATGACTCTGTAACTGTATGCTTTAGAGGAACACAGTAAAAGCATTTTTTCAATATTTCTTCTGGAACTACAGAATGATTTGGAGGAAAATCAAGTCTTGCTTTGTCTATTAACTTCAGGAATTCCTCCAGCCTCCTTTAGGCAAGGCATAGTGGCCTCTTTTTAACATGTCTCCATCCTTCATTCCAAGGGGTAGTTTTGTATTTCCCCTCATGTTGGTGCTGCTATTGTTTTAGTCCCTTCCTTGTCTCCCTCCCCAGCAAAAGCAAATATAGCAAGGGAAAAAAGCAGTGGAAGAGCGCCAGCTACTCCCCCTGTTTGTATCTTCCCATTGGCCAGCTGGAGGAAATTCTGGCTGGGACACCAGTGCAACAACCCAAGATTAGTGCCAGGATTGTGACTGTGAGGAGGTTTTTCTTAATCTCTGTTTTAGAGTCCTGGGACGGTTAGTGGGAAATAGCTTGGATTGCTTGTTAAAAATCTATTTTGCTTCTCCCAAGAGAACTGTTATTCTGGGCCCCATCTAAGTTAGAAGACTATTCATTAATTTGAAAAAGAGAGCTTCCTAAATGATTGCACCCATATTATGGAACATCTTGACCCACAAAGTTAGCTGGTGTCCTCCCTGGCTGTTTTTCATGTTGCTGGATATGAATATTGTTTATTTAAACAAGCATTTGTTATATCTGGTAGAAAATATTTGTTATGTTTTGGTTTTAAATATTGACTTTGTGTGCTGTTCTTGGTTGTTTTGTTAAAATTGTTTTTAAGTAATTGTAAACAGCCCTCTGGGGTGTTTTTATTCAAAAGGATATGGATGCTTTATTAAAGAATGGTGCTGTGTAATGTTTCAGATCCAATTCTCCAAAGACATTTGTAGCTGACAGGAGCATAACTGTTGTGGTCTGCATCTCTTTAAAGAAACTCCACAGCCTTAATAAATAAAATACTGTAAAATCATCATATATTTATTCATCACAGTATGTAGTCCCTGAAAGTATTCACATTTTGATATTGTGGTAATTTTAAAAAATGTGACATAACACTCCTTCTCTTTTTTTAAGTTCCATTTATTTCACATTAAAAAAAATAGTTTCTACCAGGGCTGTGTGAAGTTTGATTTGGGAAATCAATTCAGACAATTCTTTGAATTGACAGATTCAATAATCTCAACTACATCAGTTATTTCAGTTGGATCAGAACTAAGCTATGCACCATTAGTTCCTATCCAAACTAAATTGAATTTGAGTTTCCCAGAGTTTAGAACATTTATTGTTATGCTCCAAACATGTTATAGAGAGTGAGAGACAAAAAATAATCTAAGCATATAGGACTGAAACCAGTTTTACATAGAGATTAGTTACTACTTTCTTTGTCAATTTCTTAAAAAAAAATTCTGCAGCTTGGTAATTTCAATATAGTCTTCAAAGTTGCATGACATTTTTCACACAACTCACAGAAGATGGACTATATTGGGTCATCATTTGCAATTTAGTTCTCAAATGTTGTTTTATAGGGATTAAATAGAAAAAAATAATTGATTCAGTAATACTGCTGACAAGTGCCTCAATAGTCTTGGTAATGTTGCTGAAGATCTTATTAGGGAAATGACTGGTTGGGGTTTTCAGCTGTTAGGCAATTGCTTGCTAAGAGTGATGTTGTTTTAGATAATGTGCACATATGAAGAGAAATTACAGACTTGCGGAAGACAAGCTAAGAACATTTTGTGGTGCTGGTTGTTTTCTCTGATGTAGCAGCCCTGTGCTCAACCTGGATAGCTATAAATAAATGTCATTATTTTAAAATATTGGTAGGACTGATCTTCTTCCAAAGGAAATAAAGCCAGTATAACTTTACCCTGGAATTTCTTACCAATCAAAAAATAAGCATAATAAGGTACATTGATGACTTATAGTTGAGGTCTAGCTGCTCTGAAGGTGCTGCAGAAGGATATGGCAGTAAACTATGACGTTAAAGTGGATTTTACTACTAGACCACACACAGTGGCATTTTCCTAAAACTATTTCTGTATTTTTTAAAAGAAACTTTCCATGTAACTATAATATTCTGACAGATAGATTTTAATCTACCCTGCCCTATGCTACTGCTCCTTCTTTATACAGTGCTTTCTTATATTCATTCCATACAGAATAGTATACTTAGATCTACTACTGCAGGATTTTACTTTATGTATAGATTATAATGTGTCCAAGTGTCCTTGTTTAAAATCACTGTGTCTGCAACAGTAAGTAACATATACATATCTCATTCACAAATACCCATAAAGCTATGGAAGTTTGTACATGAACCAATCTTAGGATCAAGGGGAAAAACTTTTTTGTTTGTTTGAGGGGAAAAAAATAAAGTAGAAATCATCAGGAAAAAATAAGTAGGGAAGAAAGGAGAAACTACATGTTGCAGTTATTAGTTACAGTATCACAATAAAAAACTAAGGAAATTCAAATAATATTGCAACCTTTTTGATTTTTCATTTTAACAGAACTTTATTGTACTGCATAATTGTTGAGCAATTTATCTCTTCTTTTTTTTAATCCAACACAGTTTCTTTATGCTAATTATATTGCTCCATCTGCTGCTTTGGATATTGGAATAGAACAGTCTACAAAAAATGAGATGTACAAAAAAATTGATCCACCATTTGAAGATCTTTTTGACCTAGCAGAAGAATACATCCTCACCATTCTTTTGGTTCCATGGATGAAGATGATAGAAGAAGACCGAGAAATCTATGGGAAGGTAATCTATAAACATAGGAAAACTGTCTTGAACTTTCTAACTGTGACCTAACCCCTGTTTCAACCTCTCCCTTGTTTGAACTTTAGTCCATTCCCACCATCATTATGGAAACAGTCTACATTTTTCATTCTCCCATATTAGTCTCAAATTCTTTGCTCAAAGGTAAAAAGACTGCCATTGGCAGTTTTTAATTTAAGGCTTATTGTTATGCCAATTAATAAAACAAGGTGATACAAGGTAATTTATAGGCACATAGTTCTGCAAAACAAAACAAAACAATATTGCTAGCTATCATTATACTCCTCAACTTGAATTTCAAATAAAATATTTAGGATACTTTTTTCCAACAGTAGTTCAAAGGAGTTGATATTAGCAATTATTTCTTCCTTTTTGCCAGCAAGAATAGTAGTTTCAAAGAATATTTTTTTCAATTGCTTAATTACAACCATTTGAATCCTAAGTTTTGATAAATGTTGCAGAATGTTCCCGTTTAGAGATCAATCAGCCTTTCTATCCAAGTTAATAATCCATTCTTCTATTTTTCATTTCCAATTCTATGGCTGTTGAGCATAGTACAAGTTTTGAATATTTTCTTCTTAAGTTTTTGGTTGTAGGATTTCCCTTGTAATTAAACAGACCTTAGCATTTTTCCCAACATGTTGATATCTATGCTATATTTTGGTGCTCCCATTTTATTTATTTATTTGTTTTGCAATTCAAATGTCTGGATTCAAATCTACCAAAGTAGCTTACAAATAATATCAAAAGTTGTTAATGTTTCAATAAAGATTGTTTGCCTGTAGTCCCAATAAGCACTCTTTACCCATTCACTATCAGAAGAAGCATTGTTCTTTTTAATGCTTTTAGCATCTTTTTAAAACCAAACAAACAAATAAATGCACTTGTTAGTCCATATTAAATAAACTGGTGAGTTTACGTTAAATTTTGTTTTTCATGCAAAACAAAAAACAAAACAAAATTTAACATAAATCTAACGAGTTTAACATAAATTGAACCTATCAGTTAGCATGCACACACTACTAGTGACTTTGCCACCATGTTCTTTGAAGATAATATTTGTCCCTAAGTGAGATGCTGTGGTAGAATGTAGTCTGCATTCCCAGTAGGGAGGGGCTGCAATTCCAGAGGGCAAAATATGGAATGTTTGGTCTGGAGAAACTGGGTAAAGTATATATATAGTGATGCATATAATTGCTTTAGTTTAGCAAGATTTCTGTCTATAGATAAGGAACAATAAAAGAAACTACCCAGAAGCAACTCCACATGTCTTTCTTGATTCTGGAGGGGCCAAATGGATACACACAATATTTGTTGCTTTAGCTGTTTCAGCAAATAGTTTCTTTGAATCATCTGGTCTGGGGGAAATGCAACATGCAGAGATATGTCTCCTAAACATCTGTCTTGTTCCTGGCAAGTGTGGTTCTTTTCTACCCACTGTCATTGGCAGATTTCCTCTCCTACCCCTTCCTCTTTCTTTTTGTAATATGCACTGGGTGGATGACAGAACTTATTATTTTATTAGGTGGAGCTGGTGGAAGAAATTCGACAGCTGGACTCAGTGTACTTTAAAAAGCTGCAGGCTTTGCATGCAGAGGGCATTTCCAAGAAGGATGAGGTAAAGGCAAGCACCTATTAACAAAAACAACATCCATATTCTTGCCTCATATTTAGCGCTTAACCCCATGTGCTTCTCTGTGGCAGCAAATCTGTCTCATGAGAAACCTACAAAGTTTTTACACAATGCAGTTCTATATTAAAACTTTCAATGGATGAACTTTTAGTCCATACCAGCCAATTGCTGCGTGGCTTCAAAATTATAGCGAGTGTGTCACGAGAAATGGCTTGGCATGCAAACCAACAATATTTAACCTACTGCTATTAATACTACTAATACTATTACTACTAATTGATAAAATAGGAGGAAGAATATGGGACAATAAACATATAACTCCAGTATAGGGGAAATTTTATCTGATTAGCAAATGCAAATGAGTATTATTTTCTTTCTATGAACTTGTGGGAATTAATATTAATTGTAAGCAGTTGGTGAATCACCCCAAAAGCTCAAATCTCCAGCTTTATATTAAAAGTACTGTGAGGGATGAGTTGTAGATTTCACTAGATTTTATTGGCATCTTAGTTATACAGCCAAGATGCTACATTCATTGCTCTTTCTCACATACATACTAATATAGCATCCACCAGTTAATAATATTTCATACGATAATCCATAAAATGCATGCTGAGCATATTCCTGAATAGTAGTATAATATAGTAGTATTTATGTCATAAAAAGCCATGGCTGTTCGCCTTTCTCTAGCAATAAGGAAATAGTTATACTGTTAAATCATATCCTAAGGCAGACTTCTGGAAATTCTCAATGTGTTGAACTTCAACCCTCATAATTCCCAGCAAATGTAACCAAAGAAGCCCATTGCAGGGAGGACAATGGAACAGAACATACCAGTCTCCTTTAAGAAAAGTGCTTTGAAAGAATGATGTTACAAAATGGCCCCTTTTCAAAGCAACAGTTTGGCTCTGTAATAGTGCTACAGACGACATATGTGTAATATGCAGATCAACTTCTAGAAGTCATGTCCTCATTTTCTAGCTATATCCGTTATGGTGACCTAGATTCATATATTGTGTTGAGAGGGACAATACATTATATTCTTTTGAGCCACAAGGTTACATACCTTTAAAATGCCAGCAATTGTCATGGTGCCTATATCAGGATGATGATATAAAAAAGGAATATATGACCTTTTTTCTTTTCTCTTATATAGATATCTACAGAACTATAGTTTTTGTAGTTAGGTGTCACTCCTACATAAAGCCATTTATTGGTGACGAGATGATATAGATATTATCTTTAATAAAATGTACCCAGTCACAGATCTGGATGCACAGAGGTGCCCTTTAACTTTTGAACCTGAAATACAATGAAACTGCATAAAACAAAGAAGAAATACATATCTTCGTGGGCTAAGAAACCAGGAAGTATGAGCATTATCTTGTGCAACTTTTTCCTTAGGCTTTGGCAGTTGCAGAAGTTCTCCAGAAGTCTGAGTCTATTCGACTTGTAGAATCCATTGATCAAGACTATTCTGAAGGTTTCAAATCATACTCCATTATGAAATTGCTTAACAACAGGACAGATTTGGAACAATTCCGTATCTTTCTCGAGGAGCAATCAGCAAGGTATTTCACCTGTTATTGAGTGGCCCTGTCATGAACTCCAATTTCTCTACTAATGTTTATAATTTCTATATCTTACCTCATTGATATGACAACGAAATGGCAAGACTCTTCATTGCTTGGTGGATTTTGAACAGCTAACATCTTTAAAGAAATGAGATGTGTAGGAATGCCATATATATCTCACTCCAAATTCCATCTTTAAAAAAATGTTTTGGTTCCAGGCACATATTGAATTTTCATAATACTCCAGCTTCTGTTCTTGTCATTTCCATCCACTGATTAAAGATATGATATTCATATCTGTAGACATGCTTTCTTCTAGTTCATTTGTCCAGTACCAAAGAATAAAGAATATAAGACAGGTCAGGTTAATGGAATAAATTTTGCTATCTCACACATTTGCAGCATTCAGTGCAAAATATCTCTCTTTTAGTAAGATTTTACAAGAATTCTGGAAAGATGTCATTTAGTGTGCTATAGGTGCAAACCCTACATAAGCCAGGAGGTTTGCTATAGCAATCTAGGTCAGTGTTTCTCAACTTTGGAAGTTTAAAGATGTGTGGACTTCAAGTCCCAGAATTCTGGGACTTGAAGTCCACCCATCTTCAAACTGCGAAGGTTGAGAAACATATTTTGGATCATATCATTTTCTTTTCTCTTGGTTGTTTTGCTTTGAAGATCCTCTGCAATAAGATCAACCTAGCAGTGATGTTTATTAGAGTGTAGAAATTGACTTTCATTCAGTTTAAATTCCTGATTCACTTAGAAATACTAATGTAATTCAATTTAAGAATTCAAATCAGTTTAAAAAAACAATTAAACGTAACACTTCAGTTTAAAGCATTGTTTTCAATTCGATTTTCTAAATCCTTTCTCTTCGAATCTGACCACTTGATTCCATTTTCTAATGTAGTAGGAAAGTTGGCTCAATTTAGAGATATGCTGAACCAAATCTGTGAATCAAAGTTTTGCAAAGCTGTAACATGTGTGCAATTAAGGTACTTGACATTTTATAGATTAGATAAATTAGTTTCCAAGCTTAACTTAGTTGGGCCGAAGTAAAGAGTTTTAAAGCCTGGATTCAGTTGAAATAGTAAATGGGGCATGTAAATGAGCCAATTACTTTCAAGGAAAGAAATCCCTGCTCTTTGTATTACATAAGAACTACATCCTCTGTCCAGCATGCAGTGTAGAAATATAAAGGAAGGAAGAGTTTTGTGTATTATGGGCAATTATAGTCTAGTGCAGGGGTAGGCAACCTTGGCTCTTTTATGACTCATGGACTTCAACTCCCAGAATCCCCTGGTCTAGTGTAATCATTATAGTTGTAATGGCTATAAGCCTGGTCCATGGACCAGTACTAGGGCACGGCATGCCAGCAACTGGGCTGCACAAACAAGCAAAGCCCCATCTGCGAGATGCAGGCAGCACACAAAACCATGCACCCTCCAGTCCACGGAAAAACCTCTCTCTACGGAACCAGTCCCTGGTGCCCAAATGGTTGGGCACCTCTGCTATAAGCAGTCTGTTCCATTTAGGAAGCTATTAATATATCTTTCTCTAACATGGCACCTTCCAGAGGTGTTTGGCCATGCAGGTTAGAAAATTCTTGGAACTGGAATACAATTCATGAAGGTTACAAGGCTTTAATAAGACAACAGCTATTAAACAATACCAAAATATTTATTAATTGCCATAGTAATAATTTTACATCTGTTGTTGCAATTAAACCAATTTCAACTTCTGGGCATTGTCATTATTTTTATTGTCCACAATATAGAAGTGATTTGCTATTGGCTTCTTGCAGGACATTTTGCAATTTCCAAGTTTGACTTATAGTCCTCATAGGTTTTCCTCATGGTCTCCCATCCAAGACTCAGCTACCCCCGTCCTACATTTTATAAATTCAGCAAAAATCAGGAAGATGCTGTTCCTGCTGTTTTTTATTCTCCTATAATTCCACTCTCTCAGTACATGGCAGCAAAAGAGCCTGTGGCAGACCTTACCCTGGTTTGGAAGCTAAACAGGAATCACAGGTTAAATAGTTGGACTAGAAAGTTGAAAATTGTTCCTGTGGAAGGTATGACAAATTTCTTCCACGTAATTGCCAAGGATACATAAATACATCCATAGTCACTGGAGGTCAACCTCAGTATTTGTTTGTTTGTTTGTTTGTTTGTTTGTTTGTTTATGCCCACCTTTCCTCCAAGAATTCCAGGTAGCTTACATGGGGATTTCCTTTCATTTTATATAATACCATAAATTTGAAAAGGTGGACAAGTTCATAGAAGCTGATGACATCACCAGTGATCTTGTCTTTATCATATTAAAGAGCTTGTAGAAGTTGTCAATTCACCTTCATGGCTCCTGTAACTATGTGGAAGAATTGCTTGGTCTGAGTGATAAAAGTGCTTGCTGCATACAATAATTACTCAGTGCCATTCTATGCGTGTTTATTCAGATTACAGAATTTCATTTGGATATATGCCTGAAGAATTATGAATAAGAATATAAGCCACTTAGGAGAATGGTGATTTCAGAGGATGGGGATGGGGTAATTTAAGGTGAGGATAGGAACAATTTATTTGCTAGAGGCCTCCTGTACTTGTTTTCATCTTCAGCCTAAAATAGTTTTTAAAAGGGGGGAGGGAAAATCTGTCCTTTCTGGTAATGTCGGTAGATGGTAGATGGTAGATGGTGACCATCTCCTCCAATCTCACCCATCCTTGGTGTGAAGTAATATTTATGATGCTGTGATTAAAACATATTGTTTCTTTTGCAGTGTGGACCTCCTGTGCTGGATAGACATTGAGCAGTTCAGAAGAATGTTACACAAAAATAAAGAACAACGAGATGAAAAATCTAAAGACATTAAAAAGAAATATCTAAATAAGAAATATTTCTTTGGACCTGACAGCCCAGCTACAAAAGAAGAACAAGAGCAGGTAACTGGCTGTGTTTAAAATGTTAGTAGAAGATGCTGCTGGTTCAGTTAGTTCTAACATATGATTACTGAGTTGTGTCCTTAGTACTAAGCAATATTTTTCCTGGTGGCCAATATGCATTGTGTTTTCATTTAATCTGATGCCCTTTAAATAAAACCAGACTTCTATATAGAAGTTGTTTTTTCAAAATGCAGCCCCATAGAAGCAGTGAATGACACCCATGCAGATTAAGTAGATTGCAAAGGTACATACTGTTCCATATAAAGCAGGAGTGTCAAACTGCCGGCCCGCAGGCCAGATGCATCATAACGAAACCGCACCCACCCCATTGCTGGCAATAGCAAAAAAGTCACAATACGTTGCAACATGTCACGTGACGTTGCGAGTTTGACATCCCTGATATAAAGGAATGTTTCCCTAGAGCAGGGGTAGGCAACCTTGGCTCTTTTATGACTCGTGGACTTCAATTCCCAGAATTCCTGAGCCAGCTGTGCTGGCTCAGGAATTCTGGGAGTTGAAGTCCACAAGTCATAAAAGAGCCAAGGTTGCCTACCCCTGCCCTAGAGTAAAACTGTCATAATTTGGGCTGCAAAATCCAGATGACTGGTAGATGGCAGCATAATAAGTATTTGAAGATCATGGTGATTTCAGGAATTGTGCCATCAAGTTGTTGATTCATAGCAACCATGTAAATCAATTTTCTGTGACAATCTGTCAGGTCTATCCAGGTCTATCCATCAGGTCTATCCATCAGGTCTATCCAGATCTATCCATCAGCACTGTAATTGAGCCCAATTCTGCTGGTTGTCCCCTTCTCTTTCCTTCCAGCTTTCCTAGAATTACAGTCTTCTCCAAAGAATTAGATCTTTACATAATGTATTCAAAATAGGATAATCTGTGCCTGTCTTGATATGGTAGCTTAGTTTAAGACTAAACTGTATGCACTGGCTAATGTGTTACAAAGGTGCTTTTTCCAAAAGGCAACTGGACTTTCTTGGGAAGTTTTTTTGGAAAATGTTTCACTTCTCATCCAAGAAGCTTCTTCAGTTCTGAAGAAGAACTGAATTGAAATGAAGAAGCTTCCTGAATGAGAAGTGAATTTTTTTAAAAAAGACCCCAAGAAAGTCTAGTTGCCTTTTGGAAAAAGCATCTTTGGAACAACAATGACCAGGATGATTTTATATATATATAAATGATGAGAAAAGGTATTACACATTACTTCAAAATATTAGATATTTAGATAACTATTAGAAACCAAAGATATGAGCTGAGGTTTTTGCTGTCAAGAGATTAAAATGTTTAGCAAATGAATATACACATAGTTGCAAATATTATAAACATGAATATGCATATAAAATATATGCTGTGCAAATTAATGTGTAAAAATATATCCAAATTTTCTTTCATGGGAGGGCTCAGGATCTGGTAGTTCTCCCCCTGGCATGGTCTATTTACTGAGCAAGCAAAGAACTGTTCACTCTGATTCTGAAAGGGTGTTGTTGGCTCTTGATGACTCTAAAGGTCTCCTTTAGTTGCAGTTGTGTTCAAAATATATTCAGTTATATTGCATGAAGAGAAATATTTTATTCTTGGCAAGAAAGAAAATGTCTGAAATTACTGAATGGTTTAATATTAGAGAATTTCACCCCTACTTGTAAGATTGCTGAAATTAACATATTTTTTTCTTATTAAACATGTTTAATATTAGCTAGTGTGTAGGCCTGGAGTTATATATGTCTATGCTTTGGAAATACAGTAAATGTGCATAAATGAATTGATTTAGTAAAATTATCTTACGGTACTTTGGCTTTGGAAGTCATTGGGAGCTGGGTGGCATATAAACTTGATAAGTTACTATTGTTGTTTTGGAAGAAATCAGGTCTCATAATGTTTTTTAGAATCAGAGATCAATAAGAATAAAGGAGATCTGAGAGGGAAAATGCCAAAATATTATAAGATAGTAACCAAAATTCAAATATATCAGACATATAAAATGAGATTCCTGCTCAAGATTTCCTTTTGAGTATCTTCTTATCGATAATAACAAAAAGTTATTTTAGATGACAATTTATAGACATTGTGCATTTTATCAATGTGGGTTATGTTCATTTTAGCTGTAGGTGGAAACAGGTGTTTTCCAGTTAGTGGAAACTATGCTTATACTGTAACCATCTTTCCTACACTGAGTTGGATTATGACCTCCATCATTTACATTCAGCATGGCTTAGGTGTACCTGGCATGATGGGGTGGGTGGGGGTAGACCAACTTATAAGGAAGACAACAGATGCAAATGTTGACCTAGATTTGACAGATTACCTAGTAAGGAGCTGACATTCCTTTATCTATATATAATAGAGAGTAATTAAAGGATTTTATGAACACTCTATTACAGTGGAAATTCTTTCCTTTAAAAGCTGAAGTTGATTTATAGACACAGTAGCTCTGAAAAAGGACTTCTTTAATTCAAAACACACTGGGCTATAAAATAAAGACCATATGATGGTTAAAATCTTGTATAGCTTAGTACCAAACTATTTATTCCTAAACATCCCCTCTATATTTCTGGATCATCAATGGGGCAGGTTTGGTGGGTCTTGACAGAGATATATTGAACATCTCTGGTTAATGTTGCTTTCTGCATGAAAAGGCCTAGTTGGGGAATGTTTCCCATTATTGCTGAAGCAATCCCCCTCTTCATTACCATTTAGGAAGGAGCTCAAGAAATATTTGATTATCTAAGTTCCCTAAGTGTTTTATCGGTTTTATTATTTAACTGTTTTAGAAATAATTGTTTTATTGTTTTACTTTAATTGGAATTTTTGATTTTTTTTTTCAGACAGCCACCTTGTTAGGGCAGTGCATAGCATACTTTAAATATCAATCAATTTTAAATGAAATTTAGATTTTCCTCACTTGTTTTGCCTTAGTAATTGCTCGGTAATCTAAAACTGACTTTGTTTACTGTTGAACATTTTGTGGTCTCCTGGATGTTTTTACTAGGTTATGAAGTCACGTGGAGGCTGGGGGCAAGTACTTCATGAACACGTTGCTCCTGTGATCTTGTTAGACGTTCAAAAATATGCCCAGAGGAGATTAGAAAATAAGTGGTTGCCTCTGTTTTATACCCGCGAAGACTTGGAAACGTGGAAAACACAAAAGGTAATATTTTAACAATTTATATGGCAGTCTAGTGACATGAAGTTTGAATTGTGAATACTTCAGAGTATTTGATTATCTGAAAAATCATTGATAATAAGAAGTATGCAGGATAGTACAGATGACTTGGTATGGAGTTTTTCTTCTGATGGATCCCTTAGTAGGTATTCCTGTAAGCCACTGAAAATGAAAGTGGGTTTTGAAGCTGGGGCTCTCCATCTGGCAAGCATTCCAAAGTTTGCTGGCGGGAGGTAGAGACCTTGATCATTGCAAGATTCTTTCCATCATGCACAGTCCCTCCCTCCCTGAGACACAAATGCAATTCAGTCCATGTGGAAGCTCACAGAATAATGCAGGCTGGGTCTTTCATGCTCAGGCTGTCTTTTTCTCACACTGTGGCTGTTGCTCATCCTCCCACCTAGGGCGCTGTCTTCTATCAAGAACAGTATCGATCCTTTCTTCTGCACAATAGTAAAATAGATGGAGTCCCTGTCTGGCTATCAGCCAGGCCTTTCATTGAGTGTAGGAAAGAATTATTGGCTCTGTGGTGCAATGAATCTACTGGATAAGAAGGAGCTTTTAACTTGGTACCTCTCCAAAGAAGAAAACTATTGAATTTGCAGAGTCCTCACATCACTGATTTTATGGATGTAGAGTTGGGGGATTAAGCTTGGCTTTGTTTTCTTCAAAGTTTCTTCAGTGTATCAGATTACTTTCCTGACCAGGAGAAATAACAGTTAGGAAAAAATGTATTAATCTATCTAAGGGCAGCTCTTCTTTTTCAGCAGTGGTCTGTTCAGGCCCATGTCATTTCAGGAAGCAATCTGTGTGCCTTTTCCTCACTGGCTTCAAATTTTAAGATAGCCCATGTGTTTGATTTTGACCATCCAGATTGAAGAAAATATAATCTCATTCTTTCAAGGAAGCTTAATGCTAATCTTGACCAGAGTTAGGAGATCCTTAAAGTAATGAGGATACCCTCAACATCAGTATTAATATTCATGCAAGTAATCAATATGCTGTTTTGTCATGTTTGCTTTCAGCTACATATGGGAGAGGCAGTGGAAGACATTTTAATTCAGGAACAGGAAAAGAAACAAGTACCATGGAAGGCAAGCTGTGTTTGTTTCTACTTGGGTCTTTGTGTAATATGGACTTATCATCCTCTAAACTATGCAGTGCTTACATAAACAGGAGAGTAAGCCTAGCTGAGTAAGAGCAGTCATTACAGTATTGTATTCATAATGCTATGTGGGTAGCATTGGCTCATGTTGTTAAATTAACAAAAGTAAGTTAATGCAAATGCCACAGTCTCTGTTATTCTTGGATTTGGTACAATTGGAGTCAGAAGCTAAAAAAGAAAGAAATCTCAATTGGTTGTTTTTTTTTTAATAAAAAAGGTTATTTCTGGTTTTTGTGGCTACAAGTACAATTAATAAATGTATGACCAATACCTGAATAAAGATACAAGCTTTTGATATTTTATTTTGTGTGTGTAGGCCAGAACACTAACTCTTGAGAAATGTTGTCTCTTGCAAAGATTCAGTATCTCTTGAGGCGCTTGTGGGAATCACCATTTTGCATAATATATAACAGTGATGGCGAACCTTTCAGAGACTGAGTGCCCAAAAACTGGCCCCGCCCCAGCTCCACCCCCTGCCCTGCCCCCACCCCGCCTGCCCTCAGGGTCACTCACTGCCTCCAGGGCCCATCGCAGATCACCTAGGCAGCCCAGCAGCGCCAGATCACCCAGGCACCCAGGCAGCCCAGCAGCCCAGCAGCCCAGCAGCTCCCTCTGCCCGCAGCATCAACTGTGCGCAATGGGGCGTGAGGGCAGAGTCTTGTATACGAAGCCTGGCTGCCATGTCCTTGGCTGTACTGCTCCACGTGGGCCACGCTTGGGGGCAATTCTCCTCCAGGGAGGGTGTTGGTGAGGAGGGGGTCATGGGGGAGGCAAGGCTGGGGCAACGGCACATGTGCCCACAGAGAGGGCTCCGAGTGCCACTTCTGCCACCCGTGCCACCACTGTTATATAACATTAAAAAAAAGATATTTGGGTTCTGAACCCTAGCATTACAGTGCTGTACTTATTTTCTTTTCAGACTTCCATGTCTTTAAACTTTAATGTAGAAAGTACATTTTCTTTATCCAGAAAACTGGAACAAAATATTGCTTTTTACCATTTGGAAGATAATTTATTGTTGAGCGATTAAATGAACTCATAAAAATATGAAATATGCAGCAAAGTGAGCAGGATTAATCATATCACAGAAAGTCTGTTTCACTTACAGCTACGTTCTCTCACATGATGATCATATTGATTGTTAAATGTCTTAAAGCCTTGTGACATGACAGATCAGGCCAGTTCTGGCCTTCTCCTTTTTTTCTATCTCAAAGAACAGCCAACTCTATCTTGGAGGTGGAGGGTGGGCTTTTCCCTTTGATTTGGGTTCTAGAGGGAGCTCTTGACTTACAACAGTTCATTTAGTGACTATTCAAAGTTACAAGTCAGTTGCCAACTATCTGAATTTGGATCATGTGACCATGGGCTACTGCAATGGTTGTAAGTATGAAAAATGGCCATAAGTCATTTTTTCAGTACTGTTGTAACTTTGAACAGTCATTAAATGAACTGTTGTAAGTTGAGGATGACCTGTACTAATGACAAAACAAGTTTGGTAATGAAACAATTCAAGCTCAGAGAGCACCAAGGACCTGGCACTAATGTTTTTGTTTTGTTTTTTCTCCCTGTAGTTGTTTGTTCTGGCAGGATCAGGGAGTGCAGTGCCAAGGGACACAGCCAGGTTAATTAAGTAGGAAAGCAAGACTGGGGGATAGTTCAGGAGGGGCATCTTGTGTGCAGGGAATCCCTTCAAGAGATTTTTTTCTATTCCTTCTAGTATATTTCATTTTTAAAGATGTCTCTCAGAAAAGTTGGAAGAGTGTAAGAGAAATGTATGTGATGTCATGTTTCAGATTTGTTTTGCAAATTATTGCCTGATCTCTTATGTCAGTGATGGCAAACCTTTTAGAGACTGAGTGCCCAAACTGCAACCCAAAACCCACTCATGCATCATCGAGTGCTGGGTGGGTGTGGCCAATTGGGTGGGCGTGGCTGAGGTGGTAACGGCAGACTGGATGGGACTAACAAGTTCAATCAATCAATTCCAACTTTGCAAGATCTTTTTTTTTCCCACGAGAAGTTGAAATTGACTGAACCTTTTTTTTTTGCACATGGCGGCGGAAGCCTAAAGCGAAAAGGTTTTATAAAACCCAGCTGAAGGCCTGGGACAGGGGCGATGGCATGCGTGCCCACAGAGAGGACTCTGAGTGCCGCCTCTGGCACCCATGCCATAGGTTCGCCACCACTGTCTTATGTCATTTAAAAATGACTCCTTCAACTGCATTGATAGGATCTGCAGTGTTATTTAGATTTTTCATTGCCTTTGATTTGTTTCAGTTTCTTTTTAGTCTGCCTATTCTTTTGTACTTAGCTTCCTTGCTCCCCTTTTCTTGATGTGAAGACCTACGAAGGTCTTGGTGGCATTAATTTCAGAAACACAAACTTTCAGTGTCTGTCTGTGTTCATGACAATTGATTAAGGTGGCTTTTGTCAACAAGATAGGTTGTCAAGGGCAGGGCAGTTTTAAACTTGCACCTTCCACGACCTGTGATTACTCTTGCATGTTTCTAAACAATTCCAAACTTTTCCCCTTTCTATTCATAACTCATACCTTACAGCATAGTAATATGTTCTAAATCATTATTAGTCATTTCCTTTTTCCTGTTGTCCCTTCCAGACAATTTTTGCCCAAATCAAACAAAAGAGTGGGAGAGAGACTGTGGCTGCCAAATTGTACTGCGTCTATGCAATGAACTACTGAACACTGGGGTCAATGCAGAGATTAGCATCAGACAGTTTGCCCCAGTAATGCTTGTGTTATTGCATTGTAAAATGTGCACTTTCTTTTCTCCATCCCTCCTTTCAACAGCATAAGAAGAATTGGGTGATTTCGTCTAAGGACATAATTACTTTCCGTAAGGCGCTGATGAATCCCATCACAGCTCTTCAGTTTCAACACTTTGTATCCCTGAAAGGTGATTTATTGGGGAATGGAGTGATCTTCTGGCAGGAGGTACAGAAATACAAGGTACAGCACTTAAGGAATGGAAGTAATGCAGTTACTCAGTGACCAGGACATTTATGTCTAAAGCAACCATTTCAGAGTAGGAGATCTAAAGATGCTGACTCCTGGACTCTTTGAGACTTGTCCTATTACTTAGCTAAATATCAAAACACAACCTTGGTGACTACATAGCCTTTTCTCAAATATCCCATTCCTTCCTCTTTGTCTTGTTTATACCTCTGGAATATCTTCCTAGTCCTCCACTCAAGTGATAATCAGGTCTGATCCTACTGCCCAGTTTAGATGGCAGTCTCTAGGCTACTTAAGTACTGTCATTCTGTGGTTGTCATATTCAGCCCAGGATAGGACACTGTGGTTTTCTCCAAATAATATAAACAGTCTGGCAAGGAATCCTGATCCATTTTGTAACTGTAGACTGTAGCTGTTCAAGTATAATATCCAAACCACAATTCCTAATTGAGGTTACATGATTTGGAATATGTCCTCACTAGATTTCCACCCTTCCATGCTTTGAACTCCTCTTCCCTCCAGGATTTGGTTTAACCTTGGTATTATTTTATAAAAGAGTCTACATTGCGATAGCAAACTATGATAAGACCTTGAACCAGAACTGATTTGAAATATTGGTTTGTTCTCTGCTGTTTGCTGTGCTCTTGACCTTCTAGCATAACCTTCTAACTGCCTGCTTTGTTTGTGCAGAGTGTATGGCAATTTATGAACTTTTCATCTGACATCTTGACTGTGAGGCCATCTTTTGTGCTTAGTTGATACTTCAGTATGTTGTGCTTCAGAAAATTAACTTAATTGTTCATTGTTAAGTTATCCATTAGTTAGTGAATCTTATACACACATTCAAGTTTTTTGCTTAATTTTGTGATAACTGCATTGATCTGTCTGCAAGAAATTCCACTTGCTTGTAAGCAAGAACTGGTAGGACACTAAAATAAATGATAAGAAAGACAAAAATATGTCTGGATGGTGGACATGGCAGTACCTGGAGACAGCAGACTAGAAGAGAAAGAACTGGATTAAATAACAAAACGCAATGACCTAAAAATAGAAGTAGAATGATTGTGGCAAAAGAAAACAAAGGTAGTACCAATAGTAATAGATGTCTTGGGGCAAATCCAAAACAACTGGAGCACCACTTGAACATCTTGAACACCATCGGCATTGACAAAATCACCGTCAATTGCAAAAGGCTGCTTTACTTGGAACATACCAGGTATGTCAAACTGCTGGCCCGCAAGTCGGATGTGTCACGCTGAAACCGTGCCCACCCCATTGCCGGTAATGTGGAAAAAGTCGCCATACATCATGTGATGTCACTTGACATCGTGAGTTTGACATGCCTGGCTTATACCCTGTGACAATATCTTTAACATCTTCAAAAAGATAGCATCTGCCTATCCCAGGTGCTTGGGAAGGATAAGCCAAATCTGGTGTAAACAGCTGGCTGATTGTGCGATGAACCATAATAATTAAGGATTGAACCCCCAATTCCACCCAATGTTCAGTGGGGTAACTGGGAGCTAGTCTTCCTGACCGTAGGTGATATGGGGTGGGAGGGGAAAGAATAGCTGGGAATCCATCAACTGTTGCCCTGAAACGCCCCTATATTAATTAAACTGTAAGAGGGTAGTAACATTGCCTAGCTTCATTACTGAGGCCCAATAATAGGAAGCCAAAGAGGCAGTGCAATTTATGTCAGTATGTTTTCCTCTGAATTCAAGGACAAGACAAAAGTAGATCAATGTAACTAACTATGCAAAAGAGCCCCAAAATAGATTCTCCCTCCCTCCCTCCCTCCCTCCCCCCCTTCTCTCTCTCTCTCTCTCTCTCTCTCTCTCTCTCTCTCTCTCTCTCTCTCTCTCTCTCTCTCTCTCTCTCTCTGTGTATGTGTGTGTTTTGGGAGAAACTAGTGTGAATTCATCATCTTAGACATGTCTTGATACTATTAAGTGTAACATTCAAACAGTTCATTAGTCCTGTGCTGGAGTGGTGGCAAATTCACCTATCTATCACACACAGTTTGCAATATTTGTTATCATTTAACATAAGATTCTATGCTTGGCATAGAATCAAAATATATAGTTAATGGTACAGTATGGCTAAATAATATGAAATGAATAGATAAAAAAACCCCCCACTGAAAGTTATTGAAGTACACATTGCCATCATCCTCATCAGCTGATTAGCTTCCTTAGGGCTGAGAGTTATAATTCATACAACATCTTAAAGGTCACCTATTGGCCATTAATACCCTAAAAGGTCTTCTGAGAGTTAGATTTTTCTCTCTGTTCTTAGTAATAGTAATAGTAATAGTAGTAAAGTTGGAAGGGACCTTGGAGGTCATCTAGTCCAACCCCCTGCCAGTCCAAAAGGAGTAGGGAGAGAGATCTTCCCTTCTAAAATTAGTTTTTATCTGATTACTTAAGAAACTTTGAACTTGCCTACGTACTGAGATCTTGTTCCGAGAACTTCTTTAGGTTCTTGCCAAATTGAAGTACAGTAGGTGATGAGGACTGAGGAAGATTTTCACATACTGAGACTCTGATTCTGAAATGGTTCCCTGGGAAATTTTTGTAAAGTGAGTTGGCCTGAGAAATAGAACCCGAAGAATGGCTAGGGAATTGTATTTTAGACATACATCAAGCTAACTATCTAAATAATTTGCATTAGCTTTCTTTGACCTGGCACTTTCCAGATACGTTGGGGTGGCAGTTCCCAGAATTTCCCGCCAGTTGTTGGCTATACAGATTGGGAATTATGAAAGTTGCAATCCTAACACATCTGGAACTCATCAAATTGAGGAAAACTGATTTACATGTTGACTGTGTAATTGCATATATACGCTGAATGTTTTGTTTCTTCATTTTCAGGACCTGTGCCATTCTCACTGCAGTGAATCCATTATTCAGGATAAGATCACAACTATTATCAACTGCTTTATTAATTCTGCCATTCCACCTGCTCTTCAGATTGACATACCTCAGGAACAAGCCCAAAAGATCATTGAACACAGGAAAGAGCTAGGCCCATACGTGTTTAGAGAAGCACAGGTACAGAATACATTTGTGGGTAATCATGCCTTTTGTGTAGTTTTTATGAATGAACGTGGTAGGTGCAAAGCTGTCCCTATTACGGAATCTAGATTGGCATACTCTAGTTTGATATTATGGCATTTAAAAATTAAAATTAAAAATATGATCCAAGAAATGCATAGAGATTCCATCTGTGTATAGGTAGCCCTTGACCTACAACAGTTCATTTAATGACCGTTTGAAGCGACAAAAGCACTGAAAAAAGTAATTTATGACCACTTTTCACATTTATGACCCTTGCAGCATCCCCGATCACGTGATCAAAATTCAGATCATATTTATGACTGCAGTGCCCCAGGGTCATGTGATCCCCTTTTGTGACCTTCTGACAAGCAAAGTCAAGGGAAAGTTAGATTCACTTAACAGATGTGTTACTAACTTAACAACTGCAGTGATTCACTTAACAACTGTGGCAAGCAAGGTTGTAAAATGGGGCAGAACTCACTTAAAATGTATCCTTTAACAACATAAAATTTATGCTCCATTGTCCTAAGTCAAAGATTACCTGTATATAAGATTTTGTCACATTCAAATATTGTTGAGGGCCACTTCCAACTTTAGTCTCTGGTGATTCTTAAGAAATACTCTACAACAGGAGTGTCAAACTGCCAGCCCACAGGCTGGACACATCATGCGGAAGCCGCACCCACCCCATTGCCAGCAATGGCAAAACTCTCCCGATACATTGTGTGACATCACATGATGTCGCGGGTTTGACATGTCTGCTCTAGAAAGTGTATGATCTTTCAGAGTTGTTCGATGCAGTACACAAGACATTTTTGATAAGAAAAAGAAATCCTTGCACTTACGACTGTCACAATCTTCCCACGGTCATGTGATCAAAATTCAGGTGTTCGGCAATCTGCATTTATTTATGATGGTTACAGTATCCCTGGGTCATGTGATCATTATTTGCAACCTTCCAAGCTGATTTCCGACAAGCAGAATCAATGGGGGAGCTGGATTCACTTAACAACCATGTGTTTCATTTAACTGCAGTAATTCGCTTAACAAACATGGCAAAAAATGGTATAATACTGGGCACAGCTCACTTAACAACTGCCTTTTTAACAATGGAAATTCTGGTCCCAGTTGGGGGTCATAAGTCAAGCACAATCTGTACTTTCATAACTCTTTTGGGTCTGTAATGTAAAAGAAAGAATCTCTCTTGCAAAGAGATTATATCACTTCAAAAACCTCACAGTTTCTGTAAAGTTGTTTTTGAATTTTTCTGGAGGCAAAAACTTAAGTAAAGCTTTAAAAGAGGAACCATTCATCTGTCAAAGTTGAATATTCTGGACAACAATTTGGATTTAAAAGTAGTTCTGATGCAATTTGTTTGGTTTTAGAAACCTCATATTAAAAACATAAACAATTCACCAGTTAATGTTTTTATTAATGCAAGACATTATAATTTTTTTAAGGGAAGGCTTTGAAATTGTGGCTTAAGAAATTTTTCATAAACCATAAACTCATTCGGATGGGAAGCATGTGCCTGTCTGAAGTAAAATATTAAAAGGCAGTACGTACAATGCTGTGCATTAGAAGCATTTATCATCAGCAAATATTTTAATTGTCTGCAGTACTGTTTCTTTCTGTGCAGTATTGCATTCTAAGACATCCTTTTCTATTTCCCTGCTTCAGATGACTATTTTTGCGCTTCTCTTTAAATTTTGGCCAAAGTTTTGTGAATTTCGAGGCAATTTGATTGATGAGGCTATTTTGCCTTGCTTGGAAAGAGAAAAGAAGATACAGAAATTTAAAAAAGCAAGAGAATTAGAAGAAAAGGTGAGAAGACCAGATTAACCTCACACATACCAGTTAAACAGTAATGTGAATAAGTCAAAGTAAGATAAACTCTCAAAATAGTACAGCTATTTTATATATGATTCAAATCCTACAGAAGTGAAATTTAAAAAAGTCCACATTATAAATGGCATTTCCCTATTTAGTATTCATTTATTATATTTGATTTGTGCGGTGTAGGAGTTTAAGACAGAGAGAGCAATATTTTATAATGAAACATACTTTGAAAGTTTGCTGATCTATGGCAACCTAGATGAAAAGACCTTTGGATGCCAGCTGTCCACAAATCTGCTTTCTCTAAATCTGATCCTTTAAGATGTGTGGGAATGCAATTCACATCATACACAATGTTATAATTCAGTTTGCACTGGGGAAAGCTGCTTTAAGAATCCTCATTCTTGTGAATTCTCCCAAGAATGTAATTCTATATTTACAGAAAGTTGCTATATGCTGTATGCATAGGATCCACTACACAAAATATTATTAAAAAACTATTAACCAAGTGACCCCAAATGTTAGGAGCCCAACTGGAAAGGGGCAGAGGTAGATAGATCCCAGCTCATAAAAACTATAAAACCTCTATTCATAATGGAAAAGAAGCCAGAAGAGAACAGGGCTTCATATCATATGTTGTGAAGTAACATTCCAAATGGAACGAAATGATGATGGAAGTGAATGTCGCTGGATTCTCCCAACCAATCTGACAAGCAACATATCCCCTATTTTAGATATGGCAAGCCAAATCTTCTCTTCCATAAAAGAAACGGTCTGTCATTTGACATTCTGTTTCTGAACTCAGGACTTCTCCTCAGTGTTAATCATGGAGGACAAGACCGAGAGTCATCACCTGAGGAAAAAGGGGGAAAAAACTCAGTACGAATAGTCCTTACTTAAGGACCACTTGTTCAGTGGCCATTTGAAGTTATGACAATGCTGAAGATAGAGATTTACAAGCAGTCCTCGAAGTTGCAACGGTCCCAGTGCCCCTGGGGTATTGCAATTTGGGCACTTGGCAATTGGCATGGATTTATGACCAATTGCAGTGGTCACATATTGTCATTTGAGACCTTCCTCGCCAGCTTTCGACAAGCAAAGTCAATGGGGCAGCTGGCAGGAAGTCACAAATCGTGGTCACAGTGCTTAATGCTATGCATGATTTGATTAATGACAACAACCTGAACTAATGTTGTAAGTTGGTATGGTCACACTTAATCACCACCATCATTTAGCGACAGAGTTGCCAGTCCCTAGGGCAGTTAATAAGTGAGGACTACCTGTAGATCTTGCTTGAACCAGAGGTTGAAGGGAACTCAGAGAAAGGAGTCTGGGATCCTATAGAAATCTCCTGAGTAATTGGAAGAATCCATGATAGTCCCACTGCAAGCCAAGGCTAGAGCCTCAAAGGGATCTTGCTTGGGTTCCTTGATAATCTTTCTAACTACATCCCAAAATATTTCCTTTATTTGTAATTATTTTGGAAATCTTTCTCAACAGGAGTCTCCTTATAAGAGAAAAGAGTTATTCAAGAGAAGTCTGACTAGATCCAAATCTTAAAACAAAACCAAAAAAGCACATAAAGTGGATTCTCAAAAATATACTGAAATATACTGTCCAATAATTTATTTTACTTCAGAAATAATCAAATATTTGTTTCGTTGCTAGGCACAAAGGAAGAAAAGTTCTATTCCTGGGAAAACAAGTTCAGCTACTGATTCAAAAATGAGTTTGACTGAATTTTCACCATCCCCCAGCTTCTCTGGATTGGGCCGAGAGGTAATTGAATTATGTTCTATCAGTCCTTCCTGAAGCACAATGTGATAATCCAGGGATGACTCAGTGGATTTAGGAAACAGATTGAAAGCCATCTCTGATGTGCTACCAGTTTCATTTTTAAGAAATTGCTATTGTTTAATTATGGGCAAATGAACTTGCTAGCATTCATTAGGACCCCTTCCCTTTATTTTGGAACCTGGATGTGTCTGAAATTCATGTCAATGTCATTTTATATAAATGTCCCTCATGATAGGGGCTGCATATTGCTAAATGACAGTGGAAGCTTTGTTTAAAAAAATGTAAATTAAAAATGTTGAATGAACATGTTGAAGTTATTTTTATTAATTTTAAAAAAATAAAAGCCCTTTTTAAATTGCAAAATGAAATAAGGAAAGGCCTATTATCTCTTGAATAATGTGAAAATACTTATGAGAAGAGACAAATAGGACTGGCAAATATCTGAACATATGTTTGATACTGGCATATTCAAGCTGTAAGTGCAGATTAATTCAGGCAGGCTATAAATCTAAATAAAGTACTGATTAGATATGAAATTCAGATATTTCACAACTGCCTTGGAGGAACTTGGCTTTTTAACTTCCTCAAATGTCTGTATTGGAAATCCTCACTTCTTATTACAAGTGGTGTTAGGAAACCACATGAATTATGTTGCCCCACCGATAAATAATGCAATACTGTAATAACTTTATTGTCTTTTATTAAGATTTCAGCTTTCTGAAGGTAAGAACTGCTAACATTATCTTAGGATATAAAAAAGGATTGCCCATTTATGGATCCACTATCATACCCACCTAACTTGTTTGCTTGGTTTTTTAAATTTCTTGTAGTTTTTCTGGTCTTATTCAAAGTACATAGAAGCTCTTGAACAAGAAAGGGTCCTCCTGCAGATTCAAGAAGATTTAGAGAAAAAATCAGTAGCAGCATCTGCTTATTCAGGTCAGCTTTTCATCAATGAGAAAGGTTTTTGTGGGTCCATTTAACATTGATTTTCTTACTATGTGAAGCACAACAATATTATGTTTGTTCTCTGAAGATAAGCTTTATTATGGTTTTCATCTTTCTTTCTTTCTTTCTTTCTTTCTTTCTTTCTTCCTTCCTTCCTTCCTTCCTTCCTTCCTTCCTTCCTTCCTTCCTTCCTTCCTTCCTTTCCTCCCTCCCTCCCTGTCTTTCTCTCTTTCATTTCCCTCTTTATCTTTTTTTCCAGGTCTTTCATCTTTCCTCGCTCTGAAAAGTGATACAGCCATAAGCTCTGACAAATTTATTTCCCCAGCAAACTTCAACACAGCTTTTGTGAAGCAACGTTCATTCCCAGCTAAAGATACTGCAAGTATGTCTCCAGGGGCTCAATTAATTTTCCATGTTGATAACAGATAATATCTCTTCATCAGATGCTCAGTTTGTATAATGATATAAAAATGAAATGCCTTGAGGATTCAGTCCAGGAGGAGCACGCAAGTATAAGCATCCCATACTCCTTGAAGTGCCAATAGTTTTTTCAGCACTTCATACTTGGTGTTTGTTTCCTTCTTGCCTACATACTGTAGGAGATTTGCCCTTCCAGGGAAACTTTTTCATCAGCTTGCCTAAAAACATTCTTGTTCCTTCCATCCCTGCTCCTCTAACTTCCTACTGTTGTCATTCTACCTGCAGTGGAGAAATGATCCTCCTGCAGTAATTGCTTCCGCTTCTCCTTGTTTGGCCTTTGTCCATTTTCAAAAGAATGGTTGACATTGGTATTTTTATCTTAATTTATAATTCATCATTTGCACAGTGATGTCATATAAATACCCCAAGATTCTAGTCCACAAATATTAGCATTCTTGCTTTTTTCAGAGTTGTTTCAAATGTTAACAGTTTCAGGCCCCAGTTTCAGTGAGAAACAGTTAATCATGTTCTTAATATGTTTACTGAATGTTTTTTTTAGACTTGATCTATTATACTCCAGTTGTACCTAAATCACAGCAAACACAGAAGGCTGGAAATTGAACAATGCTACCCTTAATTGCAGTGATGATGTAGAGGATCAGGCATATATAGAAAGATGGTTTTTTTTTAGTGCCAAGGGTTCTATGAAGAAGCAGATGTTATTTTTTTTTGAGCTACCCATATATTTGGAATTAATCATTCATAATCCTATTATTTAAACACAATAATTGGGCATATGAACATCCTTCATTGCAGATTAATTCCATAATTTCAACCCAATCTTTGTAGTTGAACCATGCTTCTGATTTGAAAATGCACAGAAACACAAGAATACCACCTGTCTGCAATTCTTTAAAGTAACTGCCTCTGTTCTTGAGATCATGTGGCAGTTTTGAAGGCAGAAAATATTTCAGATAAACTCAAACTCAAAGTCAGATAAACCAATGCTTCACTTACCTCCAGACTGAATTTCTGCAACATATATTTCTTGGGGCTATCTTCAAAAAGGACAGCAGTCCCCAACCTTTGCGGTTTGGTGGCCAGGCTGGAAGGGGGGGGAGAGGGGAACGGGCTGCACAAGCAGCAGGCCTGCGCACATGTGTGCACAGTTCAACTTGTGCAACTGGCAGGCTGGCATGCACGCGCGCACATGCAGCTCAACTTGCACGAGCAGCAAGCTGGTGCACATGTGCATGCACAAGCACCTCGGCTTTTGCAAAGTGACCTGCCACATGCATATGCACATGCGCCAGCTTGCCGCTCACACAAGTTGAGTTGCGTGCATGTGTGCCAGCCCGGAACTGAATAGGCCATGGCCTGGGAGTGAGCTGTGGCCTGGGAGTTAGGGACCCTTGATCTAGGAGGTATCTCCAAGAATATGGGTAGGATCTTGCAATTAGATTCAGTGTACAGATAGTCCTTGACTTACAACAGTTCATTTAGTGACCATTCAAAGTTACATGGCTCTGAAAAAAGTGGCTTATGACCGTTTTTCACACTATTGTTGCAGCATCTCCATAGTCACGTGATCAAAATTCAGATGCTTGTTAACTGACTCATATTTATGACGCTTGCAGTGTCCCAGGAACATGTGATCACCTTTTGCAACCTTCTGACAAGCAAAATCAATGGAGAAGCCAGATTCACTTAACAACTATATTATTAACTTAATAACCACAGTGATTCACTTAACAACTGTCTTGCTTAGCAGCAGAAATTTGGGGCTGCATTGTGTTCGTAAGTTGAGGACTACCTATACAACAGTCCTCCAAGGCCTGCGTTGGTTTGTTTCCTAGCACAGTTCAGAGGGTTAACTATTATTTTAAAAAATTTAAAGGGTTTTGATCCAGGGTATCTTAGGGGGTCACTTCATCCTGTATTGCTGCCCAGCCTTCTAGATCTAATGGAAAAGCCCTTTTCTGTGGCAGAGATGTTTTTGACTGAAGCAAGAGAAAATATTTTCTAATTAAGCTTTTGGAATCCTTACCTTGGAAGGCTGGCTCCCTTGGCTCATTATTTGCTGGTATTTCACCATCAGGCCAAGAATTTTCTTTTTTAAGCCGATATTTTCTCCACAGGCAACATACCCATTAGAAAATGCTCTCTTTTGTCTCTTCTCTAATGATTACCTTTCTATATTTGCTTTTGTTAATAGTTTTAGTTTTATCTTTGAGATGATTTCTATTTAATATTTACTATTTAAATTTATTACTGTTTTTTAAATGCTATAAACTGTTAAGAGCAGAGAACATATGTACTGGAAAGGGATAGAAAATTTTATATTAAATAAATTAAACATATTCACAAATTTAGAAACAAATGTCAGCTGGAATTACCTGTGAAAAGGCAAAATAACTTATTTCTCTAGATTTCTTTGGAACTGTAGGAATTGTGTTCATTTTCTGTCTTACAGGCATTGTTTTTTGTTTCTTAAATATTAATGCCATGTGTCTTTCCCTCCCAATCAGAACCATCAAAATTTTAAGGAAACTGTTGAAGAAATTATGGATTTGCATTCACAGTGAGACAATTTATCAGAAATAAATGAAAGTAACTCACTGGTTTGCCCTATTTTTCAGAAAAGTTATGTAACCAAGAGAAGAAAGAAACTAATTCTGGGGCATTCAGTGCCAGTGGGACTTTATTCCTATATATTGTAGTATTATAGCCTTCTAAAATTTAACAGCTATGTTAGAATACAATTCTTATCATCTGGAGACACCAATTTTACAGTGCCAAATTGGGAATCCTGTGCTATTATATACTTGTTTTTAACGAAGGAAGAATTGTTAATTAATTTACTTACAAAATATTTGATAGGTTTGCAGCTTGTTGACAAGCCTATATAGTTCACTAGGATTCTGAAATGCAACATGTACTTCTTCGGGCTAACTTCAAGGCAGTTCCTCTTGCTTTTGCTGTATAGAGGTCTCCAGAACAGGTGTACAAAACATTTCCGAGAACATCAAGGCTGGTCCACAGGTAGAGCAATTTGTAAGGCTTCAAAATAGCAATATCTGTGATTCTATCTGCCATATTGTTTCACAGTCACATCTGATTCATATTGTAAATTACAGTGAGAGCTTGAGCTCAGTTGTGGATGATTGCTGCTGAAGGATTCAAATACATTAGTTCTTTCTTCCTTTTGCAATGAAGTATGTATCAAGAGGGGAAATATCTGTGGCCCACATGTGGTCTTTTTTGATGGTTTCAACATTCTCCAAGAACATGTCATTCCCAAAAGGGAAAAATTGGGACCAAATCCTGCCCCTGGTCCCTCTGGGCATCAAAGAGGAGGAGGAGAAAGAGGAGGAACCACAAGAAAAACAACAAATGAAGCCCTTCTGCAAAATGATTGCCTTCACCTGTTACAGATTATTTGGTTTAGATTCATGATACATCATTTTTTGGCCTTGTGTCTAAGATCAGATTCACCATGCTAGAAATTTGTTTTCTTTGCCATATGTCAAACAACTGCACTCTGGATTGTTTCTTTTCTATAACAAGGATTTATGTCATATATTAAAAAGAAACTCCCATTTAGGTACTTAATTTTTTCTCTAGCCAAATATAATATGAAACCTACAATGTGCCCATGTTTTAGATTTGGACTATATTTATTTGTATGCAATCCAAACATCAACCCATTAATCCTTTATATGTCCCCCATGATACCTTCAAGCACCTGATAACCAAACAACTTGTTTTTCTCATTCAGTAGCTCCATTCTGAATCAGACTTAGCAGACTTATTATGTAAAAGATATAATCCAGACATATGTCAGGGAGGATAAACTGTGCTTGATTGATACTTGGTTTTGCAGAATTGTTTCCACACACGCAGTAAAACAATGGTTCCCTTGTGGTTTTGATAGAAGTGGTGTAAAGTAGATGTCTTATTTGTCTGTCATAAGAAATATCATTGCCTGATATCACACAGAATTTTGCATGACTGGTTATAATTCATCCCTTGCATTACCATCCCTCAGTTTTCCAGAGTAGTTCACAAACCATGTTAATATTGATTTATCCAATTTACAGTCAGCCTTTCAAACTTAACTGAAAGAGGGAGGAATATAGTGATGATCCAGTCAAGTTGGGGTTTTCTTTGTAGTCTATTTTATTTTAAAGAAAAAGTGTGAAACATATAATCACATGTTTTTATTTGAAAATCAATGGTATTTAAAACTTTTTTAAACTTTGGAGTGTGATGCTTTGTGGCATCTAAAGATTAGCAAATCTATTGTGGTTTCCTAAAGAAAAGATGTTATGCTTTTAACATTAATACAGCTGTAATTAAGGTATATTAGGTGTAAAAGCATTTTTAATCATAGCATGTACGTGAATTAGATTACCAAAACAAGGTTAATTGATATGCTCAAGAAGAGTTTTATACAGGGCAACTTTTAATAATTATTATTTTTGGATTCTGGCACTTTGAGGCTTACACAATTACAAATGAATAATTTTTCATAGCTTGGCGTCCATTTGATCAAATACAATAAAATTATCTTGAGTTTTATAATAATACATAGAAATATTTTGGGGAAAGTATTTGTAAAGAATGAGGTTAGAAAGAAATGAATGGCAGACAGTAAATACATGGACAGCCATTCACTAATTTGTGGCTTTGTTGACAGGAAGTTATTTTTCACTCTTTTGTGACATTGTGGTTAGTCCTAATAAACGTGTTAATAAACTAGCAGTTTATTATTTTTCTCTTGAATTGTTTCAGATTGTTTTTGTCTTCATTTCTCCAGAGACGCTTGATATGAAGCCATCACCAAATTATAATAACCTATGAATATAGGGCATTGCTAAATGACTTTTTCATTAATGTTTGCATTTCTGGCTAATTTAGAGCAGATTTTAAAAATCAGATTGGCAAGAATATACATAATTTTAAAACTTTCATCTAGTTTAGATCCTGTATTTACAAAATATAACTTCAGACTGTCTATTAGGCTGTTGTTAGCTTGTGATAGCATTGGGATTATTTGTCAAAGTAATCAATACATTCAGGAATCTTTATTCCCTGTCCCACAAAGGTCCTCTTAGAATGTATTGATAGTACCTGAATCACCACTGTTTAAATGTTCACATGTACAGTAAGCATCCATAAAAAGAATGTCTGAGTCAACAGTAAATAGATTTCTAACTTTCAGAAAATATATTTTCACTTATAAAATTGGATTACCATCCCTCTTCATTGCCTGAGCTACGTATCCTCCAACCTACGTTAAATATATTTTTCTCTACTTAATTTTATGCACTTGTTATATTTTTTATTCTTTTAAATATATTTAGTTTGCATTAGTTTTTGTTGTTGTAAATTATAATTAATAAAATCACTACAAAAATAAAGGAAGAACTAAAAGCATAAATCATGATGGAGAAAATTTATGTGGTCGCTAGACATCAGAAGCAACATGATGGAATACAATGAATGAATAAATAAATCATCAGCTTTTAAAATATTTGAATGGCTCTCATATCGGGAAAATTTGTCATTCAGTAAATAGGATCCAGGACAGCAAGTTCAATTTCCAGGAAAAGAGAGTGTCTATAAACATTAGGAAGGGCTTCCGGTGGATTTTGCGCGCGCGATGGCGGCTACTTTGTAGCCGTCTTTCCTGGGTAAGTGTAAGAACCGCTATGAACAGCAGACACCAGCTGTTCAGCGGTTCAAAATCCCCCTCCCGGGCAAAGGGGGGGGGTAGAGAGTGTCTGAATAGTGGTAGAGCCTCTTTTGCACCCCCCAAGTTTTTTTTTTTGGGGGGGTGAAAGGAGTGCTCCCACGGAGTTCAGACTTGTCTCCGCTTCCCAGCTGTTTTTGTCCTTAGGGACAAAACGAGCCGTTGCAAACACCTCCGTGCTTAAAGAGAACTGGCGAGTTTTTTTTTTTTATAAACGGACAGAGCTGAGTAGAGGATTTAGTTTTTGCTTTCTTTGATTTATTTGGATTTTAAGTTTTAAGACTTGCTTCTATTTTTATTCTCTCTTTTTATTTTTTTTTCTTTGTTGAAAGGGAAAGTAAAATGGCGATCGGCAAATCTCTCGGTGTTTTTTTTTTTTTGAAGTTAGAATGCTGACCGGCAGGCTTTTTGGTGTTTCTTTTTCTTTCCTTTCCCTTTCCCTTTTTATTTTCTTATGATTGGAATGGTTGTTTTTGGTATCTCTAAGTATTTTTTTTTGGAACGGACTTTTTCTATTTAATTATTATTATTTTTTTTTCTTCTCCCTTCTTTTTATTGTAATGACTCTTTTTTGAAAGACTTTTTTCTGTTTAATTTTTTGTAATTTTTAAGAAGGAGTAAAGCTTTTTTCAATTCTTTTTCTCTTCCTTTTTTTTTCTTTTCCCTTTTTTCTTTTTATTATAATGACCTTCCTTGGAGGGAGTTATGATTTTTGAAGGAATTTTTATAATTTTTTAAGAAGGGCTAAAGGTTTTTCTTTAAGATGGCTCCAAAGCGTCCAGGGATTTCTACAGCTTCTAAATCAACAGTTTCACCCTCTTCTGGGGGTCAGCTAATAACTATGAAGGATTTGCAAAACATGATGGGAGATGTTATAATTCAAATTAGGGCAGAAATGAAAAAGATTTTAGAGGAAAATAATAAGATCTTGAGACAAGATTTTGTTTTGGCTTTAGAAGGAGTTGCTTCTGTTCTTGAAAAGGTGAACTCCCATGTGGAAGAGGTAGCTGAAAAAGTGGACATAATGGAGGGGAAAATTGAAAGTATGGAAAAAGAAATGGAAAATGAGATTCTTATGCTTCAATATGGACAAATGGAATATGCCTTAAGAATCAGAGGCCTGGAAGAGTCTTTGCAAGAAGATTTGAAAGAAATGGTTGCAAAGGACTTTGCATTGATTTTGAATAAAGAAAAAGAGGGAATACTTAGTGAAATTGAAAAATTATTCAGGGTTAACTCTGTGGTGGCAGCACAGAAGAATCTGCCAAGAGATGTGGTAATTTATTTTGGTAAAAGATCCTTACGTAATCAAATTGTGCAAGCCTATTATAAGAAGAGATTTCAAATTGCTTCACAAGATGTCATAATTTTTAAGGAGATCCCATCTAAAATTTTAAGAAGAAGAAAGGAGTTTGCTTTTCTAGTAAATGAACTTAAAAAGAGAAAAATTCTATTCAGATGGGATATTCCGACTGGAATGGTGGTGAACTACCTGGGGACATGTCATAGACTTAATACTGTTTCTCAAGCAAAAGATTTTTATACTTCGGTCCTGGGGGTATGTCCATCGCCATCTATTAGGTCTCAACAAGTCCAGATTGAGGAGCAGAAGACAACTTGTATAGTACATAACTCCAAAGAAAAGCAGCAACAGAAGAAGGTTAAGGAAGTTTCATATTCAGCGGTCTCTGAATCTCTGGGAGATGTTGGACCTACAAAGTCTTTGGAGCAATCTTCAAGGGTGGCTCTGGGAGAAGTTAGACCTACAAAGTTTTTGGAGCAATCTTCAAGGGTGGAATTGCTGCCTGAAATTGAAATTGGGAAATTTCAGCTTGAGGGGCACCAACAAGAGAGGAACGGGCAGAGGATAACTTGTACAACTTACAACTGTGAAGATCAACACAAGGAGGAATTCACTGAGGAAGTTTTACAGGTATCGGTCCCTGAGACTTGTGCAACATATAAATGTAAAGAAAAAGTAACATATAAATGTAAAGAGAAAGACCAACAGAAGAAGGAGGTTGAGGAAGTTTCACAGGTACTGATTCCTGAGCTGGTGGGTCAACCAGGACTTACAAACTCTTTGGAGCGATCTTCAAGGGCAGAATTCCACGCATTTTTTTCGATGCTTGCGGGCAAGAGAGACCGATATGGATTGTGCTTATAGTAGATGCAACTGGCTATTAGACAGAAGATTATGGATATTGAATGAAAATTTTAGATAAGAAGTTTGTGTTTATAGTGGGTGCAACTGGTTATTGGAAAATTATGGACATTGAATGAGAATTTTAGACAAGAAGTTTACTATTGAGATTGTGGGAGAAGTAAAACTTATATCGTTTTTGGAAAGTGAGGGGATTTTAATAAATTTGTGTTTTGAAGGGAGTATAATTTGTTTAAGTTCCAAGTAAAGCTTAAATTTGGTTTTTAAATATTATTATTAATATTTCTAAGAGAAAATAATTTGTTTAATTAAATGTCTAGATTTGTTTAGGAAAGAAAGTAATGCTTAAATCTGTGTTTTTGGAGGAAGTTTATATAGAATGATGATTGTATTTAGATTTGTTTAGGATTCAAAAGTGTTTCAAGTTTTTAAATATTATTAATATCTTTAAGAGAAAATAATTTGTTTAACTAAATGTGTCTAGATTTGTTTAGGATTTTTAAGTTTTTTTTTTGGATAGGTGAGAAGATTATGAAGATTGAAGGAAATACGTATTTACTTTAAGTTTTTTAAGAGTATTTAGTTTTGATGGTGTAACAAAGGTTTATATATTTATTTTTTTTTGTATTAGGATAAAGAAAGAGGGAGAAATTAGATTTTACATTATAGGTATAGATATTCAAAGAAAGTAATGTTTAAATTTGCGTTTTTGGAGGGAGTTTATATAGAATGATGATTGTATTTAAATTTGTTTAGGTTTTAAAAGTGTTTTAAGTTTTTTTTTCTCAATTAAGCCTGTATTCAGCTCTGGGAAGTCCAGGGGAGGGTTTGGGAGGTTGGGTAGGAGGGGGGTGAGGTAGGGTTGGGGGGGGTATGGGAAGGGGATTTGTTTTTGTAAAATTTAAAAATTTTCAATTAAAAAAAAAAAAAAAAAAAACATTAGGAAGAATTTCCTGACAATTTGATATAATACAATTATAATTTAGACACAAAACAAGGGCAGGAACTGCCCATGAGATCTAATCTAAAGTTTGGTTGAAGACAGCTCTCTATAAAGAACATCTAGTCTTCTCATGGTGCCTTCTTTGATCACCAGAACTTTGTAATATTCTGGCAAATGGACGAAATTGCTTCTTTCTTAAATAGATGACTTTTGGAATAAATGGAGGTGTCATAAGGATCACAGATTTGGCATACCTTCTGATAACAGATTTGGCATACCTTCTGTACTCTGAAATACAAACTGTTCCTCAGACTAGAAAATGAAAAATAGATTCCCAGAAAGAGAGAGAATATTTTAAGCTGCAACTTAATGACCAATGTCAGAAAGTTTCCTACATTGGCAGATGGCTCCAATATTTCGATCTCATCCAATTCTGTGCTTTATTGATTTATACAGAAATGTGTGGCCATAAACTGCTAGCAGTGGCCATACTAACTGTAGAATTTTGAGAGTTGCAACTATTTGGAGAATGCTTAAGATTCTTTACTTATAGATTAGATATGAGAAATTCACTTTTATTAAAATAAGGAGTCTTGCATTATCTTAAAAGGTCTAAGCAATTATTACAAAATTAGTTTTTGTAGACTGCAGTTCATTTTTTCAGTTGAAACAAACTGATCATTGTTTGTCAAGCTCCCAAATAGTCCTGTTCATTTGGGCAACCCTTTCCATGAAGTTTTCTACTTTTTGTCATTTTTTAAAAAACAAAGGAAAGGGACATTTGAAATTTCTCTTTTCTCCTCACCCACAAAGCTTTTGCAAGTCAGTGTTTAAAAATCCAACCTAATGACTAATACTTTCAATAGTTGTGGCAATCACTGGTAACCATCATATTGCTTCATCTTCATATGGTCCAAAAGTTAGAAAAATCATTCCTGCTTACTTGTTCTTTGCATTCATCATTGTAAGATTACTCCAAAATTAAAGCATGCAGCACTTGAACAAACTTCAAAAACCGAATTTGCAGTTCCACTGGTTGAGCGTTTTTATTAGTTCATGTTTTCCATTTGCCTTCAACATCTTGCTTTGCTGATACCCTTCTAGAATTTCACTAAGTTAGAGCTCCAGTTGGCAAGTAATTAATTTCGGGATGGCAAATATGTTCTGCTCAGAGACAAGAAGTGGTAAAGAATGCCACTTTAAAAAATGGATATACATATTTATACCACACAAAAGGTGGCCAAGTGTGCTGTAGAAAATAAAAAAAAAATCCATTTAATCTAAATATAAACAAATTTGATTATTTAGACCATCATGTAGCTCCAATATGTTAATATACTGTAATAGAAACATGGGATGCACTTTTTAAGATAAGGTTCTTTTCTTGAAAAAAAAGAGGAGAAATAGCTAATTTTGCAATAAAAATAGAGCCAAGCACAGTCTGATGTAACTGAAAAAGAAAATGCTAAGCCTATAACTTTTATCTGATATCATTCTGTAATAAGAATTCTGTAATTGCACTTAGAATTATCTAAAGGCAAAATTTACATCTGGAATATTCTTGAAGCCATACAACAGAAATTTAGTAAAGGATACAATAACTCATATCAACAGAAAACAAAACTTGTCGCAATATGGCAAAAATGATGGGTGATCAATTGGTCCCAATTTAATTTATAACACAGCAAAATGCTTGTGGTGTGCCCAACACAGTACAACAAATCCAAATAAAATGCCTGAAATTCTGATGTCTGTTTTAAATAACATCCACTTTAAAATACTAATTTTTAAACAATGCTATAATATCTTTGGCATCGTGTCAGTTCTAAATCAACGTTTTGCCATGAATTCATTCCTGGCCCAGAAAAAAGGAGCAAATCTGATTTTTATTGTGGCACACAGGACTTATTTTTGCATTCAGTGTTCAACAATGCCAATTATATCTGACAGGCCAGCTGTTAGTCCAGTTTTCAGAAGTAACTCCAGTCCAGAACCACAAAAATGATGTCAATGGTGGTATCTGGCTAACCTCGCCTGGCCTCCAAAACTGAACAGCATCATGCCCAGCTGATACCCGGAGAAAGATCAGCAATGACTCTGGATGCCACCCTCCCCCTGCCCCCCCCCCCCGGAGCAACTGGCAAGCCATTTTTGCAATGTCCCAAAGATGCTTTTTCCACAAGGCAATTGGACTTTCTTGTTTTTCTTTAAAGATGTTTTGCTTCTCATCCAAGAAGCTTCTTCAGCTCTGACTGGGGAATGGAAGGATTTATATTCCTTGCAGACAGCTGGTCATTTGCATTCTTTTAGAGAGTCGTTGAGGCCTCTTGGAGGTTTTTCTGTGTCCTCAGGGTCACTTGAGTAGTGCGAAAGGGTGTGGAGCATTCTTGGAACTGCTGAAAAGACAGTGTTGTGGAACTGTGCTATATGCAGTATGTTTCTGTCCTGTGTCCCTTCACTTTTGAACCCAGGCACAGACTGTGGGGATGAGTCTGAGTTGTCTGAACTCAAACTGAAGTGCAAGTGGTGCTGTCATCTGCAATTTTTTTCTGGAAATTAATAATAATAATAATAATAATAAAGTTGGAAGGGACCTTGGAGGTCATCTAATCCAACCCCCTGCTTAGGCAGGAAACCCTATACCATTTCATATTCTTTCATACTCCTGCTCCATTTGAAGGGTGTTCATCGCAAAGTGCATAGCTAAATGTCTATGAAGATTCTCAGTCATCTAGGCCATGATTGTTCCAAAGGTGTTTTCAAGAGGCAACTAAATTTTGTTTTTCTTTGATGCTGTTTTGCTTCTCATCATGACTGAGAATCTCCATAGACATTTAGCTATGTGGGAGTATGAACAGATTTCCAGAAAAAAATTGCAGACTACAGGACCATTTGCACCTCAGCTTGAGTTGCAGACATCTTCCCACAGCCTGTGCCTGTGTTCAACAGTGAAGGGACACAGGGCGGAAACATCCTGCAGATAGCACAACTCCACAATACAATCCTTTCAGCAGTTCCAAGAAGACTCCACACCTATTTGCACTACTCAGGTGACCCTGAGGATACAACTAAATCTCCAAGGGGCCTAAAGGACTCTCTAAAACAATGCAAATGACCAACTGTCTGCAAAGAAATATAAATCCTTCCATTTCCCACCATCCAGTCAGAGCTGAAGAAGCTTTTTGGATGAGAAGCAAAACTGTCTTCAAAGAAAAACAAGAAAGTCCAGTTGCCTCTTCTTGAAAAAGCACCTTTGAGAACCATGACCTGGATGACTGAGAATCTCCATAGACATTCCACTTTTACAATGACATCCCTGAAATTTCATGGGTTTGTCTGAACTGAACTCAATTTGGTGGCATTCTTAGGTTCAGATGTTCCTGCAAGGCTTGTTGGTGGGGGGATGTGGGGGATGGCTGGACTGCAGCTTTTCATTCGGACAACCTGGGATTGCGAGGAATTTGAAATTTAGCACTGCAAATCACAGGAATGGCCATGCACGCCCCATTAAAAGTTAGACGAAAATTAGCCATCCTGAACTTTGAGGGGCTGCCACAAAGAGAAGAGGGAATCAACCTATTTTCCAAAGCACCTGAAAGCGGGACAAGAAGCAACCGATGGAAACTAATCAAGGAGAGAAGCAACCTAGAACTAAGGAGAAATTTCCCGACAGAACAATCAACCAGTGGAACAACTTGCTTTCAGAAATTGTGGGTGCTTCATCACTGGAGATTTATGAAGAGACTGGACAACCACTTGTCTGAAATGATGTAGGGACTCCTGTTTGAGCAGTGGTTGGACTACAAGACCTCAAAGGCCCCTTCCAACTGTTATTCTGTTAACTTCACACTGGCAGGCTCTAGTCTAGAGCTACACCGCGGATATTCACGATTAGCCCATTGCGGGACTCAGAATTGTAAACGAGGCTCTAAACCAGGGGTAGTCAACCTTGGCTCTTCTATGACTGGCTCAGGAATTCTGGGAGTTGAAGTCCACGAGTCATAAAAGAGCCAAGGTTGACTATCCCTGCTCTAAACCGAATAAAAGTAGTTGCTTGCAGCACCACCTTATATTTCCCGCTTACAGTCGAATCGCGGGCGCCAGGTTCGGGAAAGCAGTTCGGCCCCTTGGACTGGGCTACCCGCTCTTTGAATTACGTCATATTTAAACCCGAATCACGTCGCGCCGCAGCGCTGTGTCAACTCTTAGCCCCGCCCCACGCCTGGCAAAAGCCCACCCACTTCTGAGATGATTCTGCCTCCACCGCTCTCCGAGAAGCAGCTCCCGCGATGCGAGTTTGGGCTGAGTGCTTACCGTAGTTACCGGGACGCGCATGCGCCGGCGGGAGCCGTGCTTCTGAAAGTGAAGGCGTAAGGACGGCCTTGAGTCCGTAGGGGTCAGGGAAGGCACTTCCTCCTGCTTGGTGTCGGGCGTGAGTGTCCGCGGCGGCCTCCTGCGCGGTTCTCTGCTTCCTGCCCTTTGGGGGACGCTGGGTTTAGTTCGACACTGGGACGGTCCACAAAGAAGAGTCTAGGGACACCCTTTGCGCTCTGGCTGTGGCGGTGCATGCAGTTGATGGGCTGGTGGGGCCCTGGCGGCGGGCGGGGGAAATTAGTTGGGGCGTCCGTCTATTTTGGGGTCCTCGCCAGATGCAGCAGAATCGCTCTGGGTGGGAACTGGGAGCAATGAGACCAAAAGGATAAGATGGTTTTTGGCTTACGACTTACTTTCTTCTCTCCATTGCGGTTGGTTAATTACGGCGTACTGGCCCATGCGAATCCTGCAAATTATAGATTATTTCTAAACCACGATTAAGGAAGCTATGGCTGTCGCCAGGATTGTAATGCAGGAAGTGGGGAGGGACCATATTTGCTGAACGGATTGCTGCATTTTGGATGACTAGCGGAATAAACATGTCAGCAGGTTAACTCTGTACATGTCACGCTGGCAATTAACACCAGCTCCCAAAGTGTAAGATTGAAATTTCATCTGCAGATGTGGAAAGAAAAGATACGTTGTGCATCCATATTAGGAGTCTGCAAAGCTTTAGGAGGCAATGCTTTGTATCTACTAATTGTCTTATTGTTAAAGCAGCCACTTTATGCATAGAGTTGCGTTTCTGCTGCAGAAACGGCTTCCATCTGTTTCTGCTGCACCTGTGCATATAGTAACAGCTGCTTACACCTTCTGGAACCTTGCAGCTTGATTGCTTTAATTTGAAAAGTGGCGCTTTATGAATTTTGCCCTATTACTGAAAATCTCTTTCAAAACCTTTATAGAGCCCTAGGCTATACCGCATATTATGTATCTCTAACAAATAAAACAATTTCCAAAGAAATTGGATCTATAAAAATGCTTTTTCTGTTATAGAGAACACTTTGTGGTTGCAATTCTTGTTCTTGTTAATATTGTGATCATAATAGCAAAGCCTTAATTTCCCTTTCTGTTTTAGGAGAAAGCTTCAATATGTCTTCTAATTTGTTGCCCAAACCACGAATGAGAGATCTCCTGGGAAGACTTGCAAGAAGGAATTTTCTGATAGGAGTTACTTTAATAACAGGAAGCTTTTTTTCCCTGGAGGTTAGGATTTCTTGTATTAAAACTCAATATAAACCAGATTTTTTTTCATTCTTAAGTGTAATTCCTATATATTTGGGCAAAGTCCTGCAAAATTACAAATAGCCCTTGTTTAATGACTGTTTGGTCAGCTTCTGTTTGCAGTTATGATGGTGCTGAACAAACGGTAGTTATAGTCAATACTTGAAGCTGTGACTGTTGCAGTGCTCTCATGTCACATGTTCAAAATTTGAGTGCTTAGCAACCTGGCCAGACTTAAAATCCCAGGGTCTGCTTCAACTCCCCCCACTATATTACCATCTCTGCCCTTTTGGCTTCTGCACTTTGCTGCCATCTACTCTTGCTGCTGCTTCCAGGGTGACCATTGTCATTTTCTTCCTCTGGTCGGGGTGGTGGTGGTGGTGGTATCAGTGCTGGGCTTGCCACCACTATCTCCTTGGCTGCCAGTTTGAAAACAAAGTGGGCATAAAACTTGGTGTGTCTCAGGGCTCTGCAATCAGGTCTTTGCCATGACCCTTCTGCAGGGTACAGAAATAGAACTTAGATCTTCATGATTTAAGCTTTGGTTCTGCTGTCTGAAGAAGAATGTCAGTTACCTTCAGCCAGCAGCTCTTTCAATCAGTCCCCAGAGATGAGAGGGAGTCTTTTTGACAGGTGGCAGCAGCTTGTAACCTTCCCTGCTGGCTTTCTGTTTTGACTTTCTGGGAAAACCGGCAGAGGAGATTGTAAATGGCAATAACATGATCGTAGAGCATTTGACAACTGATTGTGTGAACAGGTTTTCAAGTGCCCAAAATGCATTCAAGTGACTGTAGGAGGTGGGGTGTGTGTGATATTTTATGCCAGCTGGAAGTGCTTTGTGAGTTATATAGCACCATTTCTGAGACCATAACTACAAATGGTCTTGTAAGTCGAGGACTACCTATACAAGACTTCAGTTTCTAAGCGGTGTCATGTATTTTGTTTAATGGCTGCTTCGTTTAGCAAGGAGAATTCCAGTCCCAATTAGGGTCATTAAGCAAGTCCCAGGTAAATAGGTACAGAATTGTAGTCTTAATGGTGTACACCTTTTTCATCAATTGCATCACTGTTTTCTCAATGTTTTGTAAACAATTTAAGCTGCCCATGAGTGCACTGTTTTCATAGATATTGCTCTCATTTAAAAAAAATGTTTTTGTTCAGTATTTAATCGAGTTGCTTGTTTTAAAGCCTTGTAATGGTAACTTTTTTCTCTTTAGTATTTTTTCATTCAAGCAAAGCAAAATCAATACAGAGATTTCTACAAAACATTTGACTTCAAGAAAGACTTTGAGGACAAGAAAAAAGCAGGAGTGTTTCAAAGTGTGCAGCCCTAATGACATCTAATAATCATAAGTAAGCAATTGTTCAGCTTATGTTTCTTTTAAGTTAGATTAAATAGTATAGCATAGCAATTAAAGTGCTGACATTGAGTGAGACACAGGTTCCAGTTCTCCCTAACTAGAAGCCACCTGGTTGATCTTGGGCCACGCATTCTCTCTCTGTCCTGACCCAGGAAGTCAAAACACTTTCTGGGAGAAAGCAGTGGGAGACCACTGAATTGATTTGTGGGTTGGGTGGATTAAATCACTTTCACATTGTTAGCAAAGAAATGGCACAGACCTGTTACTAGTGCATATTGAAATACAAAATAAAGGTTTGTAATTCAGCTAAAGCAAAGTAAAATCAGATAAGTAGATTTATTTGTTTTAACTGAAGTCACTTCTCTGATTCTTTGTCCATTGATGATGATGTACTTTTTAAAATTCTAATGTTCATGTGCTTTTTTGGAAAAATGTAGCCAGTTTGATTGCTGCTAATTTTTAGCAGTTTTCAAATCATGCTGTTAGAAGCTTTACTATTAAAGCACAAGCTGGCTAATTATGTTTACAGTGGCATTTCATCATATGAACAAATTTTAGGGTTATAAGCCTTTGAGCTTCATAAAAACCAATATTTTTAAGTAACTTAGATAAAATGATATTTTGCATATTTTCAAAATGGGAAAATAGATTCTAGATTCTTAATAACTTTTTTTTTTCTTTTTCAGAACTTCCTTTTGGAGACAAAATAATCGAATATTGTGATCAATAACGATCACCTTCAGTGCTGGTCCTGCTACATTGTGCTAATTAAATGAAAACTGTCTCAAGAGTGTGTCTGGGCTTCTTTCAGTTAGTAGCAATCAAAGCTCACAAAGTACTGCAGTGTTCCATCATCATCAGAATTGGAAGGGACCTCAGAGGTCTTCTAGTCCAACTTCCTGCTCCTCGGACAATGTGCTAGGCTGAAATAGTAGAAATCTTTAAGTTTTCTTTCTAAAATAAAACACTGAGAGGAGAGGGTGTGTCAAATCTAAGGGAAAACAGGAAAAAATTGGATATTGGGATCTTTTAGTTTCCTTTCAGTAGCAGTTAAGTGGCAGTGCTGGCAGTTGGAAGCAATTTTTTTCTCTCCTTTTGTAGCTTCTGCTTCGCAGAGAAGTGGGCAAAAAGGGTTGTTTTCAGTGTCCATGTGAAGGTCAAGTGTGTAGCACCCACATTTTACATTTACCATTATATTTTTTTTCTCAGAACATTTATTAGTTGAGTACCTTGCAGACAGAACACAAAAACAGGATTATTTTCCTTTTGTGATAACATAAATGTTTTAAGAATTGTTGTTATTCACAAGAGTTCACTTTGTAACATGTTATGGAAACGTGCTGCATAGCTGTGGGCGGGCAGATGCAAATGGCTGCTTTATGCTCCAAGAGTTATGCTACAGCAGACTACTAGCTTATCTAAGTTAGCAGTAATTCTACCATGGCCATTCAGAAATTTAGGGACACTACAGGTTTATTGTTGGAATTATTGGCATATTGCACCCTTCTTGAACATTTTGATAAGTAATATATGTATATTATTACTATACAAGTAATTAGTAAAAGGATTTTGTTGAACTGGTTGCTTGCTTCCCGATCCAAAATCTGTTCTTATTAGATATTGCTGGATTTTTTTCACCAAGTCTTTAATTTTTCAGTAGTTGCCTGCTGTTACTCCTCAATCTGCTAAAACTTTGGGTTGCTCTTATCAATATGCTGTCTTTTTAAGAGATTCTGGTGTTAATCTGACCATAAGAGGGAAAGAAAAAACTAGCAAACAAATGAACTTGTGATAAAAAAATCTATGTTGATAATGCATCCAGATAATTCTGTCGGACATTGGCCCATCTAGCCCAGAATTGTTGCTTTCTGAGATAAAATTATCAAGCATTTTATGACAAATAACTTATTTCCTGAGTTGAACATGGCTACTTTAAGGCAGGTACATCTCTGAATACTCAATGAATTTTTAAGAACTTTTCAAGTACATTAGAAGCTCTGTTATTGTTGAAGACATTGAGGAGTCTGATAAGGAAATAGCCAAATGATGAACGAGTGACTCACGGGTTGTCTAGTCCTTATGTAAAAGTGTGATTGAGTGGGAACTCTGGCCCAAGTCGTCTCTCCCTGAGCAGCAAGGCCCTCTAAGGATCATTTATGGAGGTAAACATATAGTGTGCAAAATTAGTATAGAACCTAATTATTTAATGCTTTCAGTCTTCATATTTATACACTGCAATCTTTAGAATAATTCTTTATAGTTAAATATAATTACATATATATTAAATCTAGTGTGACTATACTGATAGTTGAGTTACCCAACAATGCAATATGTTTATGATAGAACAGACATGTCAAACACCAGGCCCGGGGGCCAGATGTGGCCCGCGAAGTGGTTTCATGTGACCCGTGAAGCCATCCTGGAAACAGGGAATGGCCCCCGCTGCCTTGGCCCTGGCCCAGGCCGGCTGGGAGCCAATGTACAATTTTGTGGTGGTCATCTATGCTGAAACGCATTCAGTCTTAGCTCCACAAGGCCGTCTAGAAACAGCGAGGAACCAGCCCTTGCTGTGTCGGCCCCGCCCCCTGGGTGCATGCTGGGGAGGTGTCACCCTTTGTGAGGAATGAAGAAATGGACCATGCCTTGGCGCTTGCCCCAGTCCCACCCCCTTCTGCCAGAGACCCTCAGATCTGTCCCACTTCTGCCCAGGCCCCCACAGGCACCCTTGACGCGAACGATGTAGAGCTGGCCATGCCCACCCAGTAGGCCACACCCACTCCATGCCCACCCAATAGGCCGCTCCCACCCGGCCCCCCCAAGGGCAACCACAATGCTGATGCATCCCTCAATGAAATTGAGTTTGACACCCCCTGTGATAGAAGCACAATTTGCGTCTCAGATTTCCTAATCCACAGTACGGATGCCATAGAGATTCTAGGATTCACCATCTCATGATGGTAAATATCCAAGGGACTGCATAGCTTGCTATGAACTGCTATGAACTATGGGAATGGTCTTTAAAGATGACCTTGTTTTTTGAGGTCTCTTGCAGGACAAGGAGGACATTTTTCTGTGTTGCTCTCAAGTCATACTTTCGGGCAAGCCACTCGGCTTTTTCTTTCTGCTTTGGTGAACAAAAGATATTTTTCTTTAGTCAAGTGTTTTCTGCCTTGATTGCGATTGTTAACATTTTCAGATTGTAAAATAACAGGTTTTTCTAAAAATAAAATAAAATTGTTAGCTGCCCAAAATGTGTGCTGGGCAGGAAAGTGATATTTAAGTTATATAAATAAATATTATGATTAGCCATGCAACTAATTAGACTCTTAAAAGTCAGTTGCAGTATAGGTGGTGTTCAGAGCTTACAGGGAAGATACATCTCAGGGAGATTTTAAAAAGCAACTTCGTACAGTGGAACCAATAGCTATTGTCAGAACTGTAGCTAGGTCAGCAGTTTAATTGGATTTGTAAAGCAATTACTGCTATAATTTAGAAGAGCTTTAAACAAATTTGTTTGGTTCACTCTGGCTATAACCTGTCCTGTTTGTGCTAGTTTATTATTTTGGCATTTTATAAATGCATTTCTTTTGAATCAAATTGCTATAACAGTACTGTCAACAGACAAAGTGGCAATATAACTCTTTATTTCTCATGAAAGATTCAATTATAAAATACAATAGTTTAAAGCAGTGTAAATAAACAATGACTACTAGTCACATAAACATTTAACAAAGGCTCTACCTAGTTTGTACTTAGGATAAACCTAGTTTTCAAAGGCTGAATATTTTAAAAATGGAATACATAAGATGTGACAAAATCAAAAGAGCTTTCAAAATCTCTGTGCCTAGAAATGTACTGGAAACATTAGTGAAAATTGGCTAAAGCATAGTTTAAATTCAGTACCTAACTTCAGCATAGTTTTGTAGTGCAGATTGGCCTTGGACAGATTAATGTTGAGTTTTTGCCTTGAAAAGCGGAGCAGGAGGTTAGAGTGGGGAGGAAAAGAAATGTTTAGGACCAAAAATGTTAAATAAAAATAGTTAAGAGCCCATAGCAAACACACTTTTTGAAACTAAAGCCTGCTGATCCCACTTCAGTCTACATTTAAATCTAATAGCTGTTTTATGCTGGTGATTCTTCTACAGTTCAAAGTTGAAAACAGATGTTGAAAACTCTATAGAAAAGATACATCTAAAAACATCCACTATTAATATACTAGAGCTCTCTGAAAAATTAGATCTGCACAAGAAATGAGAAATCTGATAACTGAACCAGTAACACAGCTGTATGGTCTAAAATGGTTTGGACCCATATCCATGAATTTTACTTTTTTTCCTGGGTGATGATTTAGTACAGAGTTCTATGTTACAAGTATATATTTTTCTTAAGAATCTCCCATTTAACCTTCCAGTGCAAATGTAATTGCTGAATACTACAGCAATAATGAAACCAGGAACTAGTTTTACGGTTTACTGAGCCCTTTCCAGTGGATATATGGGTTTAACTTCAGACAATGGTGGCAATGGGGCTATATGAGAATATACACTGGCTATTAATTTGCACAGTTAAAAACTCAGATGCTTTTAGAGCATGGGTGTCAAACTCGATCGCATCATTTTTTTGCCTTTGTGGAGACGATGTGGGCTGGCCAGCATGTGATGCATCTGGCCTGCGGGCTGCCAGTTTTACACCCCTGTTTTAGAGGAAACTACATCTCATAATATTAAATAGCATTTTCAGTGATACACTGAATCTCTTATTTTATAGAAAACTATGAGACAAACAAGAGTTTCAAGTTATGTATACTTCTTAAACATGGCTATATAGGCTTCCAGTCAGTCATGTATTTAGATGAGCTGTCCCTATAATGGCACCTACCTAAAATTGCTGCAACTACAACTGTATGACTTGGAATTATGGGAACCGAAATTGTATTTGCTGTGGTGCTCTAGTGTAATAAGTTGATCAAAATGAAACTGTTAATAAGACCAAGGTGGCAATTGTTATGTTACTTGGATGTAACTCAATGGATCCTACTTTGAGTAATGCATCATGGGTCAGTTGATCATTTAAATTACCTTCTCATTTTTGGTATTCATGGCTAAACAAAAATTGTAAAGCTTTAGATAATGCAAAATTACTGGTCCCACATTAATAGTCCATAAGAACTCTTGCATAATTATACATTGTTAAAGAATTGTAATAGCATATACATTCAACAATCTTCGGAAAACATTGCTATCTTTTATGGTAAACAAGAAATCTCATAAATTAGTATTGTCACCAACTTGTTCTTCAGACTAAACAAAGGCACTAATTTATATTAAGGACTGAAATCCTGCAAAATCTCAGTCAATGAAAATTAACAGAATGGGTCCGGAACCCTAGGTATCACAATTCCCTTAGCACACCTAAGTACTTCCAAACTGAATAGAAAAACTTATTTTGCTATAGGTTGGGCCAGTTACAGTACAAATTTCAGCCCTGAGCAAGTTTTTAAAGCTAAGTTCTAAATTTGCTTATAGTAACTGGCACCTCTTTAGAAAATGAAGAAAAAGACAAGAATATTATAATGTTCATTCTGTGCATTCTGTCAATCTTTACATATTAGTCTTCCTATTAAAAAGAAAATAAATATTTTCACTGTCATCTTACAAGGTTGCCAATTTCTGTTTACTGACAGCTCTCTCTCTCTATATATATATATCTACGTAATTCTGTCTCATAAAGGAGACTACAGAATTCATCTCTAATGTACTGAGTGCAAAATAGATCTTCTTTTTAATGTGC